CTGATCCCCTGATCCTTGTTGGATTAATCATAACACCAAATGAATTACCGGCAATGATCTCGCCGTGGCCTTTTCTTGGTCTAAATTTACCCAACAATGTCTGTTACATCTTTTGCCGCCCGTCCGTGTAAACCCGGTGCTTAAACATATTGACGTTGCAAGTATACAACTATTATAATGTGTTGAAGCTCACAATGAGGTGAGCGGGCTAAACATTCCCACGTCCCATTCCACATAAATGTGCCGGCATGGATAATGTGTTGCAGGTACCAGTATCTGTCTGCAGACCCAGTAAATCGCTTTGCCTCACTATCTGTGGCTGCCACGGTTCACACCTGCTGTAAATAACCACCGCTGGCTCCCATTAATCCACCTGCATGACTTCACTAATTAAACACACCCAAAGTTCTAATCATCCTTTCGTTAGTCGGGGGGGAGAAACCACACAAAGTCATGATGCATTTTCGATGGCTGTATTTATTTGACGTCTTTTTCACTCATTGAAACAATGAGTGTGTGTGTGTGTGTGTGAGTGTGAGATATATAGCTGCCTGTGCTGCTGCGTGTGTTACGTAAAACCCTCAAGCACACAGTCACACACCAGCTGACTTGCATCTCGCCTCATTTCTATACGATAAATGTAAAGCAGCAGCTTAAAAATGTCCATTACGTTGCAAACATTACCAAGTAATGACCTGAAAAGGACAATTTGAACTCAAGATTTTCCATATACTTGGCAGAGGAATTATGCCCCTGTTTCCATTTATGCCTGGGTGTCAGACTCACCATCATGTTTATCGCTTTACATCAAACACACACGGCACCATTTGTCTCCTTTTATGCCATTGCCATTTTATGTAAATCTGAATTTGGGATTTTTATCGGCTCCTGGACCACATCCCAAGAGAAAAAAAGAAGCTAATAAAACTTCAGAGTACGCAGTCTTGGTAATTTCCCGCTGAGCCTGTAGTGGGCTTGTGTCGGAGCTGGTGTCCCCGTGGGAGCGGCTGCAGCTTCACAGCATCCTCTCGGAGGGCTCCGGGTGATGTCACAGTGGCTCCATCCATATTTTGGAAGGACCCTGTAAAAACAGAGTTGCTGGTAAAAGAGTATTGAAAAAGCTTTTCCCAAGAGGCCGTGCCGGATTACTGTGTTGTGTATTATCTGTAGAACATGCACAGTGTGGATCACATTTTAGGGGAACTGATTAATGTGTGTGGAAACCGTCCTCTGGCCCCAGTGCAGCGATGGAGTCCTCCGAGACCCTCTTAGTCCTTCACACATCATTTCTACACGTTTCCAAAAATAACGCTGGTTGCCGTAACTTTGAAAGATTTTGCAAATTTAACTGGAAAAATGTCCAAAGTATGTTTTTTTTTTTCTCTTCATAGTTATTATTACCCCCCCAAAAACCACCGTTTCCATGCTGCTCTTTAAAAGAGTCCTGAACCGGAGTAAGCGGTAAAAATGTTATAAGCCTTAAAGAATGCAGCCAGATTAGCCCCTGCAGTCTAAACTAGAAGACAGCCCGTTATTATGTCAGCTGGCTGAGCCTCTGCCGTCAGCCGGGGCCCACGCCTGTTCTCCAACTACCGTGATGCTCCCTCCCCGGGACACATGCAGTAATCACCGGCTGACACGCATTGATGTCATTATATAGAGTGAAAGAAAAAAATGCAGCATTTAGCAAGTCTGCAAACGGCTTCTTCATCTGGCTAACACCGAGGTATCCATGCAACTTGATCTCGCTGATAAGAGTCACTGGTTAAAGCTGAAGTGCCTGTCTTTTTTTTCTTCTCTTCTTCATCATCTTCTTCTTCCTAAAAGTGATCTCACAGTCGCTCTGCGGCTTTGGGAAGGCTCGGCTGTTTGTTTGTCTGAGGACACATGAGGCTCCCAAGGCTCAGCCACAGGAAATGTCCTGTAAACATGCCCGTGTAACCATCCCCCCATCCCGCTGATAGCATTTAGCCGGACCTCATTGGGCCTCTGTGTGTGTGTGTGTGTGTTTTCTATATGTGCCTGTGTGTGCGAACGTAAGGGAAGCAAAGCGTAAGCAAAACGTACAGGAGACGAGGCGGTGAGGGCAGCACTGCGAGGGCCTCCCGTGTGTTTTCGTGGACAGGTTTAGGACAGGTTTTGACAAAAAGTTGTGTCCCTTGAAGCCCGCCCCTCCCCCCCGCCTCCCCCCGCGAGGGGGAAATGAGTAAGACTCCAGATTCCATGTCCGTTCTGAAGCACCGTGCTGTACTTGTCAGTGTCAGTGACTTGTCAGTCAAAGTGATTGTCACGCCGCCCGCGCCCGCCAGTGCCTGCCGATGCGTTTGTTGCTTCTCCTCACCGTAAAAGGATGTGAAAAAAAGAATCCGAAAGTGGAAAAAAAAGATTTGAAACTTGAAAATACAGGATCTGCAACCGAAAAATATAATGCAGCGAATCTGAAAATATATATATAAATAAAAAAAATTGGTCACTTATTTTTATTTTACTTATGTTGTAT